TAGATTCGGAAATAGAGCCTTTAAAGAGGTAGTTAAGGTAAAATGATGTCACGCAGCTGGGCTCTAATTCATCACGAGTGGTGTCCTCTTAAGAAGAAATTAGGACATAGGCACATACAGAGGAAGACCATGTGAGAACAGAGAGAAAACGGCCATACAAACCAAGGAGAGAGGTTTCAGAATGAAATCAGCTCTGCTGACACCTTGAACTTGGACTTCTAGCTTCCAGAACTGTGAGGAAATACATTTGTGAGGCTTAAGCCAACCAGTGTGTGGCACGTGGTTCTGGCAGCTGTTGCAAACTAATCAGTCAGTACACTTACCAATGACGAAATAAACTCAAATTAAAACAGTCTGATGACGTTGAAACAAGTGCTGCGACATACTTTAGGGTGGGAGTATAATCTGATACACTCTGAAGTGCAGTTTGGTAATGGCTAGTGGAAAAAACAGAAAGGGCAAGGGCCATTTATTTATTTATTTAAACAGAAAGGGCAAGAAAATATGAGACTAGGAACCAGAGTTGCATTTCCTTTTAGATTTTGGGAACACTAGATGGGACGCTTAGGAGAATTTTCCATAAAATCTACTCCAAATACCAATCTAAACAATGACTTAAGGATTGATCAATATTATTATAGTGCAAAATAACTGCCAGATTTACCAGGAACATTCTTTTTATAAAAACAGTTTTCTAAAAGTTATTAGACTCACAGGAAGAGTCCTTGATCAAAGCCACACATTTAGTTGGAATGCTGGTTAACTTCGACATCCATGTGCTTTTTCTTCCAAGAGGACTGGGGCCCCCCCTGTACCTGTAATACAGGGCGGATGGTGTGAATCAGGACACCACTTTCCCACATGACCTCTGCCTAGTGGGCTGCAGTTGATCCAAGAATCTCCTAAGCACCTCTCTGAGCTCAACAGCTGTGTGTGGGTTAGAGTCTCAGTGCAGCTATTGTCAGGTGGACACCTCTCTAAAACACAGAGGATACTTCTGCAAGGCTTAAAAAAACAAATAAGGGGGCGCCTGGGTGGCTCAGGTGGTTGGTTATCTGCCTTCGGCTCAGGTCATGATCCCAGGGTCCCGGGATCCAGTCCCGTGTCAGGCTCCCTGCTCGGCGGGAAGCCTGCTTCTCCCTCTGCCGCTCCCCCTGCTTGTGCTCTCTCTCTCTCTGACAAATAAATAAATAAAATCTTTAAAAAAAAGAGAAATGGGCGCCTGGGTGGCTCAGTTGGTTAAGCGACTGCCTTCGGCTCAGGTCATGATCCTGGAGTCCCGATCGAGTCCCACATCGGGCTCCCTGCTCAGCAGGGAGCCTGCTTCTCCCTCTGACCCTCCCTCCTCTCATGCTCTCTCTATCTCATTCTCTCTCTCAAATAAATAAACAAAATCTTAAAAAAAATAAAAATAAAAATAAAAAAGAGAAACAATACTAATATTTTAAAAGATAAGCTAAAATAAATTAATTGAACATTGATTTTTCAGAGTATGTGATTCTTGGTATGTCATCATAGTGTTAAAAATTCCATGTTAATTAAAACGCTGTAAAAATTAGCTAATATGTTATTCCCTGTTATTTTTTCAAACAATGAATATTTTAGAAATCATTAATACTAACCTCATTGTTCAAAAAAAAAAGCCTAACAACTAAGCTTTTTAAAAAAAAAACCCTCAAAATTCTACCAATTAGCAAATGTGTCATAAAACTTAAATATGTACCTGGTTTTGCTGTAGGTCAAAACACAAGCGGCATATTCTATGAATGTGGTGTTTCATTAATTCAGGGGATTATGTCATTTGGGGGCCCTTTGAGGCCCCTACATGCGCCTTGTATGTTGATGCTAACACTGCATCCCATGAGGGGCTGTGGGCATTAGCTCTGGTTTTGACAAGTTTTTTTGTTTTAATTAATAACATCCTATTTCAAGCAAAATTTGTTTGTTGTTTATTACTCTCTGAATGTGCTCAGTCCCACATGAAATTTGGCACTGTACCTCCTTAACGATTTGTGTTTCATATACCAAACAGTTCTCAGATCTGTAAACTTGTGAGCTTGAAGAAAAGCGCCCTTCAAAGCATAGTTCAGTTTCATATGGATCTCAAAGGATCAGGTTCGTCCTTACGTAACCAAAGCTGCTGTTTCTATGCCTTCTTTTGACCACTGTTCTCATTTATCTCATTTCCTTTGAAAACATCTTGCTTTTTCCCAGACATCTCTTCCACACTCAGTGGCTTATCTTTCAACATGGATGCTCAAACAATATTATATTTGGAACAATGCAGAAGATAAAGTCTAGGGCACCTTCTTATACATGCAAGGGAAAGGAAGATTCATTCAGCTCAATAGGTGCTATTTCCCCCAATATTGGGAAGGGTCTTCATTTCCCTTTGCATGTAAAACACCACCTAACAACCAAGCTAAGGGAACTAATATTTTACACAGTAATAGCAGTCTTTCACTTTCTAATATTTTGAGACGTCAGTGTTTTATAAATGTTAATGGATCAATGCCGTATGATCAACTGCTATAGCTAATAAACTGATTTATAAAATCATATTCATAGCTCATCTCTCTTTTAAGTATATCTTGGACTCAGATTCTATCCTCCATGGAAATTATCTTCTACCTATAAAACGGTGAGCATGCTTATTACAAACATGGCTTAAATAAATGCATAAACATTCTGGGGACAAATAATAAGATTGGGGAAGAAATGAGACAGTATGAAGAAAGTTCTTGGCTTCAGGGTTGGAAGCCATAAGAGACGAGATCATTAGGATGAAGCTGAATGTGCAAGAATACAGTCAATGATCTTTTTTTTTTTAAAGATTTTATTTATTTATTTGATAGAGACACAGCGAGAGAGGGAACACAAGCAGGGGGAGTGGGAGAGGGAGAAGCAGGCTTCCCGCGGAGCAGAGAGCCAGATGCAGGGCTCCATCCCAGGACCCCAGGATCATGACCTGAGCCGAAGGCAGATGCTTAACGACTGAGCCACCCTGGCGCCCCTACAGTCAATGATCTTAATGTTCGATTGTGTGGTGTGGCTGGAGCAACTGGTCAGGAGATTTTAATCATTCATACAAATTGGAACAAAAAAGCTTTCTAGACAGTGCTGTGGTCAGATTTGCTGGGTGCTCTGAAGTAGAGGGTAAAATCTAAGAACGTGCCTGTTGAACTTGCTTGAAGTATACTAATCTAGTGTGCTGGCCCTATCTCTAGGCTGGGTTAAGATGCTCCTTTTTTCATTTCCAAGTTTCCAACAGAACCTTGTGCACGTAGCCCTTAGGACATAATCACACTTTATAGTGTTTTTTGTTTTTTTGTTTTTGGTTTTGTTTTCTTTTTCTGCTTACTTGTGTGTCTATTGTATTAGATTTTGAGATCCTTGAGGACAAGGGAATTGTGCCTATCACAAACGCCTAATAAATGTTTGTTTGATTTCATTTGACTTAATGGAATTGGATTTAACATCAAATAAAGATTTGTTTGAATATTCTGCTTTCTTAAAAATGCTGACTGGTCGCAGGTTGCCTGGCACAGAAGAGGCCGTTAAGAATGGCTTCTCCTCAGATAGCAGAAGCTCCCCATCTTCTCCTTTTGCCTCCCGGGGTTTTAGACACACACTGGCCTGAACACACACAATCCTGGGTCCTTTGCTTTGCAGCTAGATGCACACTTCGTGGGGGGAAACTTTTGGGGCAGGAGACAGCTGCTAAGCCACTTGTAAGGAAAGGAGGTGATGAGGAAATACTGGATTTCCTGCTGCAGACAGACCCAAGATGACTATTCCTATACTTTGGGAAATGAGCTACCAGGGGACTATCTGCTTTATACAAAGATTTTTCACAAGATTCTTTCAAAAAGTGAGTTTGTATATTTGCAATTTTTTTCCCCCCTGGGGAGAAATTAAGTATTTCTCAAAGGGATCTGGAACCCAAAATGATTAGTACCTACTGCTTCGTGTGAGTAAACAGAATTTGGCTTTCAAAAGTCAAGCTTCTAATTCTGTTTCTTTGTGGGAAGGCTAACATCTGAGCCTCTTTGTATTTACAGTCACGTGATACAACGTACCCAGCACACAACAGTCAATAGGGGTTTGTTTGGACAAAATGCATTCATAGTCAAAGCAAGGCTTACTTGAAAGCCGTCACTATCCAGGGATGACATCATTTGACAGCGCTCCTCACTTTATATACCATGGCGTGCTCACATGCAGCAGTTAGTAGAAAGAATTCACCCCTTTCTGAAAGAATAAGAATTTTCATTTAATTTGTGAAAAATTTGAAATTGCTATACCCTTTTCCATGTCCAACTACTACCACTAGAAACTTTTATTTATATGCTACTTATTTTTGTAAATATTTCACATTCAATTCTTAAAAAATTCTGTGGAATACATAGGCCTTCCAAGGAGTAGGACATCTGTGATGAGAATATGAGGCTTGGTTTCCCGCAGCTAGGAGGCCTAGTTTCTCGTTCCTTTCCTTCAATGACCACACAGAGGTCCTGTGAGATCCCACACAGATCCAAGTTTTAAACATAGCAAAACAATCCAAGCAGGTTTGTAACCACAGGAGACCAGAAAGTTCTGAAACAGCAGGTGACTTTTCTGAGAAAGCTCACACAGTCTGGGTTGGGCTAACCTGGCCACAACAGAGCAGAAGGAAAAAAAAATAACCACCCATTTTTTTTTTTCTTTTTTAAAAAGCTGCAGTTTCACTTGCTGGCTCAGCAAATGTTTTTCCCTATGATAGTTTGAAAAAGAACATGACTTGGAGGCCCTTTTACCCTTAGCCCTGCCTCCCGCCCCCGACTGTACCATTAAATCCTAGATACTGGGGTGACTAAAAGGATAGGGAATAAATCAGTAATTGCAAAAAAAAACCCTTTCTCCCCATTTTATGCTTGGCAGCCCTTGCTACTTTTTTTGGTTTATAATGATCAGTTCAAGGGTTTGCTCAGCTTGCAAGGTCACAGTCAGAGCGGACAATGAACTTTGGACTATGGCTGGAGAGAGGTAAACAACAGGACTATAAATATCAGGGCTTCTGGCTGTGACTTGAAGGAGCTGTAGAGCTGAGCAAAGAGAGAGGACGCAGGCTGCTCGCAGGCTGCTCGGAAGGGGTTGGGTAAGTAGGAACTTTGTGTTTTCCAATATTTGATTCAAACTTGATTCTTTTAGAGCTTGGTAAATAATTTGATTTCAAGTCTGATAAAATGTTTCTGTCCTTAGCATAGAGTTTTAAAAAGGGAGATGGGTAAATAAAATAATAATAAAAAAAATACAAAAGAAAGAGAACAGAAGAGTGTGGAATTGGGTGGGGCAGGTGAGGTTCTGCCCCGCCTGAGGCAGTCCTTGCTGATTTCTGCCCTGTCCGCAGGACAAAGATGGGAGCAGGGGAGGCTGGAGAAATCCAACGCCGTGACTCTGCAAAGAGTTGTGTTGTTATATGGGCGATACTGCGTGTTCAAGCTTAACTATCTCCCACTGAAATGCAGAGTGAGAACTCTCAGGAAAAATCAGCCCCTGGGTTTGAAGGGCCGAGACTGAGAAATGGCCAATCTGCAGGGCTGTAGAAATGTCCTGGGATACTGTGAACAGTTTCAGAAAACACAACACAACAAAACACAATGCAAGAGCTGGGGTGGGGGTGGCAGGGTCTGTCAACTGTGCGGAAGTGGTCGCCCTTCAAAGAGTTAAAACCCAGGTGGCCTGTGGTGAGATGCAAGGTTTTGCAGTGTACAAGGTGAGCGGATACTTTCAGGTGAATGAGGAAGGACCCTCAGATGCCAGCCTGAAGTTCAGGGAAAAAGTTTCTGTATATTTTGCCTCTTAATGGGGAATTTAAAACAGAAGTAAGTCTGCATGTGGCCAAAAATCTAATTTCCCTAATTGAAAAGTGGTGGGATTAGTGAAATTTACAACTACTTTCAACAGCTCCCAATAATTCCAGTTGAGTTATTTATCCTCATTGTTTTTACACAGCTATCTGATAGCTATAATTATAATCAAATGTTTATTATGCAAAAAATGATCTTAAGAAAAAAAGTTGAACAGCCTATTGATTATATAGTAGAAGAAAATGTGTGAGAACTCCGTAATCCACTACCCTCTGCCAATGGCTTTATGTCTTTTTTTCACCAAAAAACTAAATGAGGGAAAAAGTCTTTTCCTTTATATTTACTATTTAGCCCCTTGAAAGGGTATGTATATGGTGAAGTGAGGATACCAAGTGCTGAATTTATGCTGAAGTTCTGTAATTACTGAAATTATATTCTAGAAAGTAGGGGGTCTCCCTCCAGTCTGGTAAGAAACAAAACAGCTTGAATTATTTTGATGTTCTCTTTGCCATACTCGGGCATAAACAAATAAAACCCTGGCTACTGTAATTGTTAGAGGTAATCTATCTAATAGCTAAGAGGTCATGTTTTGGATTTAGCAGAACTGGTTTGAATCCAGTCTCTTTTGTGATTTGCCACCTGTGTGGACTTGGGCAAGATGCCTAACTCTCTCTCAGCCAAGGTTTCCTGAGCTTCAGAAGGGGGTGACGGTCACACAGTTGTAAGGATTAGCTGACAGAGAAGTGCTTAGCACCACCCGTGTAGAGTTCTATAAATGCTCAGTGAGTGGTAGCTATAATAAGGGTCATTGTGCCGTTCGTATAAATGCCATTCTAAAGAAATGCCCTAGATTTAGTCCAGATATAGCCTCTGTTTTTAAATATTAGAATCTTAAAAATATTAGAATAGTTGGGATGGCCTTAATAAATCATTTAATTTCCCTCTCTTTTAGTTAGGCTCTTATCAATATACCCTGTATAGGTAGGAATTTTGTGGTATTAAATGATGTGAAAGATAGTCCGGTTTTTAAAATTTCTATCTATCCAGTGCACCAGAGCCCCAGTCAATCTGATTCTAGCTTTTCTACACTCATCTTAATTCTGGGCTCACTCTAGGTAACTTATCATTTGCTGCCCCCCACCCTCTTTCCCTTCCCTACCTCCCCCAAATGTACTTTTACTTTCTTATCCAGATTAGTGCCTGAAAGTGTGCCAACTTCCCAGTTCGAGAATGTTGTCCTCATCTCTCTCCACAGGCTTTATATCAGAATAAGCCTGTTCCTGGGTGGATTTTTCTTTTACTGCTCGTCTCTGCTGAATGTGTTCCTTATTTTTACCACCTCTTTACAGATCCCTTGTTTTATGTGTACCTCTCTGCTAGGAGAGTTAGCCTTAGTTTGGGGATATTTCTGGTCAGATACTGAGCTTTTCTACTCAGAGGGGGGGCATCTTTTTCCCCAAGAGCATGCCATCTAGTCACAGAAACCTCTTGAAAGTCATGAGAGCCAGTCCATAGACGGAGTGTAAACTGCAGTGAGTTTGGTAGAGGGACAGCGATTTGTGACATTTCTCCTTGGTCAGAGTTTTTCCTTTGGTCATATGTACCTCAGATGTGATAGTAACATTTTGGCAGGCGGTTTTATACCTGAAAAGATTCAAATCCTTTACTGTTAACATAGAGCTAGACTTTAAAGGGTAAGAGGAACAAAAGAGAGCCAAAGCCAGGAGACTCCGAAATACAGGATGCTTGAACCTGCAGAGCTGAGGGCCCCACCTGTGCTCTCACTGCTACCTCCTTTCTTCCTGGGTTCTCTTTTCACGCTGGCTCTTTTCCTTTCTGTGCGGAATCCCCTACTTACCCTTTCCTTTCTTAGGTTGGTGGAGGGTGGAAAGCAGCAGTCAGAACTTATTTGAGAGTGAGAGAGAGAGAGAGAGAGAGAGAGAGGGAGGGAGAGCACGCGTGAGATGGGGGAGGGGCAGAGGGAGAAGCAGGCTTCCCGCTTAGCTGGGAGCCCGATCTGATTGGGGCTCCATCCCAGGACTCCGGGATCAGGACCTGAGCTGAAGGCAGACCCTTAACCCCCAGGCGCCCCGCATCTCAAATAAAAACAAAAATATGTTTGCAGAATGTTACTTGGTTATAGAGGCCACAGTCTCAACATTTTTCTCAACCTTTATAGGTTCCAGACAAGTAGTTGGCTGCCTGTTCAGGCAGATCTCCACAGCATGCTTCCTGAAGTTTCTTGCCAAGCCAGGTAGTTAAGAGATGGTTTGACCACTCCCCTGCCTCTGGCTGATTTTTGAACCTGTTCTGGGAAGATTTGGTGCGGGGAGGCCGAACATAATGAGCCCAGCAACACTGGGATAGAATCCCCGGGGCTAGTTCCTGACAGGAAGGGGAACGGTACTGGCTGGATTTATAGAAATTCCTGGTTATGACTGTGAAGTCGCCTGTGAAGATGACAGCAAGGTTTCCTCTGTTACAGGACAAGCCCAGCAATGTGGAGAAGCCTGGGGCTTGCCCTGGCTCTCTGTCTTCTCCCATGGGGAGGAGCAGAGAGCCAGGAACAAAGCTCCTTCTGTAAGCAGCCTCCAGCCTGGAGCATAGGAGATCAAAATCCAATGCTGAACTCAAGTGGTTCGGTAACAGTGGTGTCCCTTCTTCAAGCCAGCTGATACCTGTGCATTCTGCAGGCATCCAGGTGAGAGCCGTTCTGTGCTCTAGGACTTCCCAAGGGGAAAGCTATCGAACACATACATACGTACATAAAAGAAACATAGAAATGGAAAAGATGTGTTTATTAAATCACATCTTTAGAAAAACTATACGTTTGCATAAAACATGTTAGAAGAAAGTATACTAGGAGGATATATACCAAAATATATATAGTGGTTTTCCTGGGAATTATAGAAAAATTTTCTTCATTTTGTAGACCTATATTTTATAATGTCCTACTAAATATGTATTACTTGTGTAATGAAATGTTCTAAAATGTAATCCTGCAAATGGGTTAGTTATTTTGATAGAAAAAGCAAATGCGAGTGCTTTGCTGGAGTAGAATCAACGCTAGACTTGCCATCAAATGTCTTGTGTCATTTCACAAACATATCTATGTATATGTATATATAAATTATATGTATAACAAACATATTTGTTAGGTTCTTCAGTAAGTATTTATTGGGTGGAATTCTCTGTCAGATGGATTAAAAACCATACACTTTGTAGGATTAATTTGAGGACCAAATGAGCTATTGCTTGTGCAGTCAGCATAAGGTTTTAACTGAGCACAAGTGCTCGGTAAATACTGACAAAACGTAACTTTTAGTTTTTTACAACAATATAAAGAAGAGATATAAGTAAAAAATAGTAAAAGAGTTTCATGTAAAAAAATAACGAGGAGAGAGAATTCACTAATACATTAAATGAGATTATTCCTTTTTTGTATTTTTCCTAAATATTTTAGATTGGAAGACCTGCGAGTAAAACTGGAGAAAGAAGGATATTTGAACATCTCTTATGTTGTTGTTAATCATCAAGGACTTTCTTCTCAATTAAAATATATGCATCTTAAAAATAAGGTTTCAGAGTATATTCCTGTTTATCAACAAGAAGAAAACCAAACAGATGTCTGGATGCTGTTAAATGGGAAAAAGGATGACTTCCTCATATATGACAGGTGTGTATACACACACACACACACACACACACACACACACACCCCAAATTAAAATATAACCTGCTTTGCATTTAATTTAATAGTAAGTGATTTAAAATAAGACATCTTCTTTTGTTTTGTTACCAGATACTCAGCACATTAAAATGTTTGGTTTTAATGTTTTTGAAATGACTTTCTTTTGTGCAAAAGAATTCACCATTCTAGTAGGGAAATACCGAAAATTGACTATACTTATCCACCCCGTAGATTGGCATTCCAAGAAAGGAGCAATTCGTATATCATGTACAATTCTAACCTAAGAATTTTTCAGATGAATATCTATACTTTGCAGACCACTTGCTTATCTCTAATCTGATTAATAGTTTAAAAGCGACATACCTGAATTTCTGAACTATAAAGTGTGTTAATCTTTTAGGTTTAATCTGCATAAATCTGCTTTTGATCCCTTGGGTGAATAAAACATTTGTATTTTGAGGGAACCTCAATGCGTATGTTATTTGATATGACCAACATGACTAGTTGATTCTGTTTTCTTTGGACTCTCCAGAAATGGTGAGCCAACTCTGTTTAGGCCTAAGCTCTATTTCATCTTACTCTAAATATTTTTAATATTACATGTTCTTTTTGGACTGCGAACTTCTAATTTAAATAGTTGCAAAGTGTAGCTTTTTGATATTCACATAATATTATATATCCTGGGTAAAATGTGGCAAGAAGGACATTTCAACCCCACCATTTCTGGGAACACCAAGTATTGTAATTCCATTTCTTTCCTTATGCTGACATTTTTGTTGCATCAGATATATTTTTTAAATAAATGGGTTACTGGCCAAGACATGAGGATCTTTTTTGTTATGCTGTGATTTTTGTGTTGTGTGGAATTTGTGCTGCCATAGTGGTTATGAAAACCCCATGTGATTTGCCCAGCCCAATTTATGATAAGTCAGTGGTTTGGGCATTGGTAGAATTTATGTCTCTTACCAAATTGTATTTGACCAAGTCACAGTGACTAAACTATGTAGTTTTGATATTATTAATAGTGGCATATCTGTAACATTTTGAAATGCTAGTGTTAGATTCACTGTAGTCTTGCTGTGACCTAAGCTGGTATTCAGTGCCAGGGAGCTCATCTGAGACCCCACTCAAGGAAATTTACTGAAGTTGTGAATGGATGGGTCTTTGTTACAAGACCATTAAACCAACAGTACCTATCCCAAACTGCTTATGTACGGTCACCATACAGAAAACATTGTAATGATACTGTGTTTGTCCTTTTCTTTTTAGATGTGGCCGTCTTGTATACCATCTTGGTTTGCCTTACTCCTTTCTAACTTTCCCATATGTAGAAGAAGCCATTAAATTTACTTACTGTAAAGAGAAATGTGGACACTGCTCTCTCATGGTATTTCATTTTTCTTAATTATTTTTACTGGGAGAAAAGAGAAAATCTTTTAAGAGCTATCTAAATAAGTTAGTGTCGTTTCAAGACCAATTAGTTAATCAATGTTTCTGTTGGTTATACTAAAAATAAACTACAATGGTAATTTTTATAATTACACATTCTTTCTATTATGTAACATATACTGTAAGACATCTTTTCAAGATCCGTATTGCTGCTTTTATCTAGAAGGAGTTTTGAAAACAAGAATCGGCATAGATCACATATTTCAAATACCACCAAATGATACTGCATGTGTTCCAAGTGCTCAAAGAATTCAGCTAACATAAAATATCATTATTGTAATATCCTGAATATGTTCACACAGGAGCATACTGATAGCAAAGCTTATTCATGGGCATTACCTGAAATGGAATTGGGGCCCAGATAGCTAATTCATTTATCAAAGATGTAAGACTGTCAGCTTTTCCATGAAGCCCTTACACTGCCTGCCCGTTCTGTAGCCAGAATCACCATGTTTATTTCACAATGGAATAGATTTTCTACTCGTTACTGATACTTCTCTCCTAACAACTGTGAGAATATTTCTTCCTTGTCATGAGAATTGATTTTAATTTATATTAACTAGAACCTCCCGCATGTTGAAAAGGAAAATAATTCCAAACAATTTTCCTTAATAGGGCAAATTGGCAAAATTTGAACTCAGGTTTAAAAATAATTCTTTTTTTAAAAGATTTTATTTATTTATTTAACAGAGAGAGAGATCACAAGTAGGCAGAGCGGCAGGCAGAAGGAGAGGGAGAAGCAAGCTCCCCGCTGAGCAGAGAGCCTGACGCGGGGCTCGATCCCAGGACCCTGGGATCATGACCTGAGCCAAAGGCAGACGCCTAACTGACTGAGCCACCCAGGCGCCCCTAAAAATAATTCTGAATTTTATTTGTGAGCTATACATCCTTCAGATTTTTCCAGGTGTAAAGAAAGCCATCTCAATTTTTAATAAATTATTTAATTAACTAATTTAGTTGTTATGAAGCACAACAGGTTAATTACTCTAGTTATATAATTTTTCACATTTTAATCTTCATTATAATCCTATGAAGCTTATTCTGCTTTTAAAGAGGGGGAGACTGAGATAATGCAAATAAAGTATTAACTCAATGTCTAACTTCTAAGTGCTTAAATGCTAGCTATATTGATTCCTCATTCTGGGATTATTTTAGTATTTTGCATTTTTGCAAGTGCCTAATAGTTATAAATATACCCAGTTATATTGAAACAAAGGCAGAAACAGTTCCCATAACATGCTTAAAATTTATGAGCCACCTGTAAATAGGAATAATATATATATCTGATATGCCAAAGCAAATTGGAGTTTTCCTATTTCATTGTATCCTAGATGTCATCAATTAAATGACACATTATTTTATGTACTACTTAAAAAAAATGCTGTCAGTTAAGGTAGGACACAGTGTTACAACACCAACAGTAGGATGCATTCTGATTTTAAAGACATTAAAGTGTGAAAAAAATACATTGTAGGATCAATAAAATATAGTAATTGGCTTTTTGAAATTAGACCACTACTACCAATCTTTGAACATTTAGAACATTATGTAGTATATTTTAAACATTATCAAACCGTTACTAAGTTTATCAAATTGTTTATAGTATTAAATTCTCAAAAGTGAAGGAAATAATCACCAAAACTAAAAGGCAACCTATGGAATGGGAGAAGATATTTGCAAATGACATATCTGATAAAGGGTTAGTATCCAAAATATATAAAGAACTTCTAAAACTCAACACCAAATAATCCAAATAAAAAATGGGCAGAACACATGAATAGACATTTTTCCAAAGAAGACATATAGATGGCAAACAGACACATGAAGAGATGCTCAACATCATTGATCATCAGGGAAATACACATCACAACTACCACGAGGTACCACTTCATACCTGTCAGAATGGCTAAGATCAATAACACAAGAAACAACAGGTTTGGGGGAGGATATGGAGAAAGGGGAACCCTCTTACATTGTTGGTGAGAACACAAACTGGTGCAGCCACTCTGGAAAACAGTATGGAGTTTCCTCAAAAAGTTAAAAATAGAACTACCCTATGATCCAGGAATTGCAGTAGTGGGTGTTTACCCAAAGAATATGAAAATACTGATTCAAGAGGATACATGCACCCCAGTTTATAGCAGCATTATCTACAATAACCAAATTATGGAAACGGCCCAAGTGTCTGTTGATTGATGAATGGATAGGAAGATGTGGTGTGTGTGTGTGTGTGTGTGTGTGTGTGTGTGTATAATGGAATATTACTCAGACATAAAAAAGAATGAAATCTTGCCATTTGCAATGATGTGGATGGAGCTAGGGAGTATTATGCTAAGTGAAATAAGTCAGTCAGAGAAAGACAAATACCATATGATTTTACTTATATGTGAAATTTAAGAAACAAAGCAAATGAACATGGGGAAAAAAAAAGATAGGCAAACCAAGAAACAGATCCTTAATTTTAGAAACAGACTGGGGGTTGCTGGAGTGGAGGTGGGGAGGGGATGGGATGGTTTAAACAAGTGATGGGCTTTAAGGAGGGCACTTGTGATGAGCACTGGGTGTTATATGTAAGTGATGAATCACTAACTTCTATACCTGAAACTAATATTTTACTGAATGTTAACTAGCTGGAATTTAAGTAAAAACTTAGGGAAAAAAAGAAATAAGATAAAATGAAAAACAAAGCAAAAAAAAAAAGAAATGGGGGGGCAAACCAAGAATCAGAAACAGACTTTTTTTTTTTTTAATTTTATTATGTTATGTTAGTCACCATACAATACATCATTGGTTTTTGATGTGGTGATCCACGATTCATTGTTTTCGTATAACACCCAGTGCTCCATGCAGTACGTGCCCTCCTTAATACCCATCACCAGGCTAACCCATCCCACCACACCCCTCCCCTCTAAAACCCTATTTGTTTCTCAGAGTCCATAGTCTCTCATGGTTCATCTCTCCCTCCCGATTTCCCTCCCTTCATTTTTCCCTTCCTTCTCCTAATGTCCTCCATGCTATTCCTTATGTTCCACAAATAAGTGAAACCATATGATAATTGACTTTCTCTGCTTGACTTATTTCACTTAGCATAATCTCCTCCAGTCCCATCCATGTTGATGTAAAAGTTGGGTATTCATCCTTTCTGATGGCTGAGTAATATTCCATTGTATGTATGGACCACATCTTCTTTATCTATTCATCTGTTGAAGGGCATCTCGGCTCTTTCCACAGTTTGGCTATTGCGGACATTGCTGCCATGAACATTGGGGTGCATATGGCCCTTCTTTTCACTACATCTGTGTCTTTGGGGTAAATACCCAGGAGTGCAATTGCTGGGTCATAGGGTAGCTCTATTTTTAAATTTTTGAGGCACCTCCACACTGTTTTCCAAAGTGGCTGTACCAACTTGCATTGCCACCAACAGTGTAAGAGGGTTCCCCTTTCTCCATAACCTCTCCAACATTTGTTGCAGAAACAGACTCTTAACTACAGAGAACAAACCGATGGTTACCAGAGGGGAGGGAGGTGGGGGTGGTGGGGGAAATAGGTGATGGGGATGAAGGAATTCATTTGTCGTGATGAGCACCAGGTGTTGTATGGAAGTGTTGAATCACTATATTGTACACCTGAACCTAATACTACACTGTATGTTAACTAAGTGGAATTTGAATACAAACTTTAAAAATTGCATTGAATTCTCAAAAGTAATTTAGAAATAACCAAAACATGTACCATTGAATAGTTGTGTGCAAAAATCCAGTGGAATTTTTAACTTTTCAAAACAATGAACCATAACACTTAGAAGATCAGTTTGAGAGACCAAAGACTCACTAACTTTACTTACAAATCACTTTAGGTAGAAGTTTCGTATGACACTGCTATATCTGTAAGCTTTGAGCCTATGATTTATGGGCACACTAAACAATAAAAAAGACTTGCAGCAAATTAACTAGATTGATGCAGAATGGAACCTCTTGCTCAGCGGAAGATGGGCAGGAATGTGCTCCTTGCCCCCAACAGCTCGACAGGAGGGACACAGTAACAAAACTAGTGAAGTTCAAAACATTTCCTGACATAAGCTGAGGCATGAAAAATGACTCATCTCGAGCAGTTTATTGGCATTTTTGAATTATCAGAGAGAAATTAGTTTGCTTCAGAATATAACATTAAATTAGAATAGAATGGTGGATTGACACAGGTGTGAAAGGTTCCATGTAGTTCAGCTGCTTCTAAGATTTGATATTTGTTTGACTTTACTGCGATCAATGTAAGTTCTTTTAACCAGTTTATTTAGCTTTGCTTCTGCAGATGTAAGCGGTTTGCTTTCTTTTTAAGCCTTATGTATCTCTTAAATTCTTCTTCAGAATTCTTAAAAATTTAGGAAATGCTCTTGATTAGGAAAATTTGAATTCTGCTGTTGATTTAACCAGTATAGAAGCTTAGGTGAACTGTTGAATTTTAATCATCTTATGCTCTATTTTATCTATTTGGAAAACATTAATGTTAATTTCCTTGTAAGATGCTTGAGGATTCTTTGATTAAATGCAAACTTTGCACAAGAAGCAGTTTATAATTAGGTATGATGGGAACCAAATTTTAATAGAAAGTCTAGGTCTCGAAACTGATATCAATTTTATCTCATTAATATGACCCTAGAAAAACAAAGCCAGTTCAATCCTAATTAACTGGTTTGCATTTTACATATTTTAGCTCTACAAATCACTTTTTGTGCACTCCTGCTAAACCTGTACATTTGTTGATAAATGGTTATAAATTCGTTCTAGACCCTGGAAGCTGCAGACCACTGTAAAATGGTATCTTCGGCTACTGTGGGAAACACAACTGAGGCTCCCCAGCCACATCACCACCACCACCACCATGGTCATCATCTCAAGCATGAGCATCAGCATCATGGGATTGATGGGGTTTCAGAGAATCAGCAACCAGAAGCCCCAGATGCGGCTGAGCATCCCACTCCTTGAGGCCTCCATCACCACCATAAGCACAAGAACCACCAAAGACAGGGCCACCCAGAGACCTGAGATCTGCCAGCAGGAAGTGAAAGTTTACAACTTTCTGTTCCACAGAGGAGGCTCTGATGAAAGGGATGTATAAATCAATTACTCTGCAAATTGCCTAAAGATTCAGGGTTGGCCCCTAACAGCTGTTGCTGACACTGACGACATCTGATATTTGAAAAAACAGGGTCTGCAATCACCTGACAATGTAAAGAAACCCTCCCCTCTTTATGCAGCTGACAGGGACTTTGGGCAGAGGAGAACGTCATTGAATCTTGACAGTGACGTTTGCCTCCGGCTGCCTGACAAGCAAGTCAGCAGCTTCAGCCCACAGAAGCCAGCGCCAGTTGAAGCTGAAAACATAAGGCCAAAATGTGAAAATGACCTCCATACTAAATACTTAAATAAGACACACTCCCCAAGTCAGTCTAGACAATTTCATTTCCAGCATTTTATAAGCCACCTGATTAATAATGACCCAAAAATAAGAATTGGATTTGTACAAACATGGAGAAATCTATCATACTGGCTTCCAAGTTTTAAAATTTAAGGCCAAGAAATTTTGACCCAAACCAGATTTTCATTATTTTATTACAAAGGTGATTGCAGAATTTGGTTATGTTTTTCTTTTTCTTTTTCCAGCATTCTGCTTGCTTTAATGAGAACAGAGACGTAAACTATGACCTAGGGGTTTCTGTTGGATAGTTAGCAATTTAGAATGGAGAAAGAACAACAAAGACATGTTTTCCATTTTTTTCTTTACTTATTTCTCAAAAAAATATTATCTTTGTTTTTTTAATCTTATGTTTTTAACTGACTAAACCTTTAAAGAACTCAGTGAATTCTGTCTTTAAAGTTCCAGAAATACTGACACATGAATATTTTGCTAGGACTACCTTTTAAATATCCATTTATGCTTTGTATATCTAAGAGTCATATCTTGATTTTTACTATCACATATGAATGAAGCCCTTATATCTTATTTTCTTTATCTAGCATTGTATCACACTCTTAAATTTGAGATAATCTGTCTGGAAAGTCGTAACGGAAAAGATAAAAGAATGTTGTCTATCTCTTGATTGCTTAGAAAGTATTTCCATAGTCAATGATGGTTCAGTAGGTAAACTAAGTCCTATAAGCCTGAACTCCTTTATGGTTAATACTATTAAGCAAGAATGTAGTACACGATTGGACAAATGTGGATTTGTTTAAATAAACTCAATTTAAAAAGTTTAAAGCTTTCTCTTTTTCATTGTTATTGTTTAGGCAGTATATTAATGACAGAAGCAAATTTTCAACTTCTTTTAAAGAAATTAAGTAGCAACTAATGAATTTACTGTCCTACTCAAAACCGTCTACGCTTAAGGTAAGAGCTTTTGCCAGTAGGGTTAAGTGGAGGATCTTTGCCAAGGGAGAGGCGTTGCTCTAAATCGTGAATGGTACTACGAAGAAATGCAATCTCCTTGTTTTTTTCTTCTTGCAGATGTTGAAGCTTCTAAATAAAGCAGAAAGAAATTTGTTACTGCAATTCAGAAATAGTAAGATTAAATACAAGAAACAACAAAACAGCAAAAACTGCATTTCTGGTTTAAGTAGATATTTTAAAAGACAGCTTATTTTGAAAGGTTTATAATTTTATTTTTAGAAGCTTATGGGGTAAAACTGGAATAAGGATACCAAAATACGTATTAGTACCATTTATTCTAGTTCATTCCCTTCTCCCTATATAGCTTGAAGTTATAAACCATAAAAGAGGAGTTGAACAAAAAGAAATCTATTATCTGAGTGCCTAAATAACTTCAGAATAGTAGGTCAGCCCTAGTTCAGAATATATTACAGAATTCCTTAGATGGCCCAAAGAGTCAAAGACTTCTCTGATGTTTTAATTTACTGCTAAGATTTATTACTTTAAATTGAAGGTGACTTTTAAAGTTTTATTTATTTTACAGAGAGAGAGAATGAGCGTGCACGCAGTGGGGAGGGGTAGAGAGAGGGAGAGAGAATCTCTCAAGCAGACTCCATGCTGAGCACATGGCCCAATGCAGGGCTCGATCTCATGTCCCTGAGATCATGACCTGAGCTGAAACCAATAGTCTGGTGCTTAACTGAGCCACCCAGTCACCCCAAACTGAAAATGACTTTTAAAGATTATTCAAAAGATCTTTCTGATTGTGTGGTATATTTTAAGAAAAACTGTTAAGTATATTGTTAGTAAACACTAGACAGCTTTTGTAGAAACACACTAAGAAACTTTATTTTCTTAAGCAATAGCTATGGAAGAAAATCTCACATACCCTTCTGTAGATACTCTGTGGCAAAACAGTAGAATCTGGATATGATTTTGGTTTAGTTTGAACTCTTGCTAGTTTGGCATCAAACTGAATCAAGTTTAAAAAGAAAGTTATTGAGAACATTCTAGCTGAACAACTAAAAACAATTATTTCTATAAATATAAGCATAATCTATTATATTTTTAAACATATAATCTGTAATTTAAGTATATTCTCTGTCTAACACAAGATAGAGAAGTCTTTCTATAAGAAACAATGTTTTAAGAAAGAGCAAAGAACACCCAAACAGGATTAACCTTGCTGCATGTTAAAATTACCTGGAGAGATTTTTAAAAGTACCAAATGCCTGGGCAGTACCTTAGAGATTCTGGGATAGAGTCAGCACAAAATTTTTGTTACGATATTAGGTAGAGAATCTAGATAACCAGGGTTGGGAATCTAGTTAACTTAAAGATGGATAAAAATATTTTCATGTTACCATGGATGTCCTTTTGTAAAGAAAACATAGTGTAGTCAACAGTCATGGGGTAAAAACTCATATACCCTGCTGTAAACTCTTTGAGGCCGAGTAGTAGAATTTGGATATAATTTTGTTGATTTAGTTTGAAACTCTTACTGGTTTGACATTAAACTGAATCAGGTTTAAAAATTCTCACAGAGAGACAGAGAGAACACAAACAAGGGCACTGGCAGGCAGAGGGAGAAGCAGGTTCCCCACTGAGCAGCGAGCCCAATGCGGGACTCGATCCCAGGACCCTGGGATCATGACCTAAGCCGAAGGCAGACGCTTAACTGACTCAACTGCCCAGGTGTTCCACAAAGTCTTTCATTATAATTTTTCCCTTTAGGTTGAGGTCGATGTAGCCTCTTGGTGGTCTAAAAACAAACTCAGTGAGATTGTGTTCTGGCTTAAGGAGGTAAATGGATAGTTACAATGAAGAGGAATAACAAAAATTTCTGTATATCAGTGTAAACAACAGACTTGGGCTAGACCAGTGACAGGGCCAAATGGCAAACAAAATGCACATTTTCAATAAAGGGATTAGAAGTTGATGGTAAGTCTTGAAACATGGCCTACGGGATCTCAGTTGGCTCCCCAGCCCTTCCCGTCTGTGTGTCGTGGGCACATTGACCCGAGAAAGTAGCAGCAGCCAAATGCCTCTCAAGTCAGCATCAGCCCCCTTTGCTCAAAGCTTATATGGATTTCAGCATTGGACCTCACCAAGCACCCCAGAGATACCAAACTTTCATGAACATGAATAGTAAGCTAACTAAGCTGGTGAATTCTGGCAACACAAGGTAAAGTGGGAGTCAGGCTGGGGAAAAGCAATGGAAGAAAGATGGAAGTGGAGATGGGTAGAATCTAGATAAAAATTTTAAAAGAACAAATATACTGTCAAACATCCATGTCTTTGAGATTCTGACATCTAGTTAAACAAACTCCTGAAAGGGCTTTAGAGCTTAGAACTGGAACTGTAGCCTTTGAGATGCCCTATTTGAAGTCCCTTTAACATTAAAAAAAAAATCTGGTTGTCTGCCCATACGGTAAGCATTTTCCACACATTTATTAGGGAGCAACTTGTCTCTTTTTAATAAAGCCAAAGGAGTTTCTAATTGGTTAAGCAGAGTTGCACAGTTTCTGCTGAGGAGAGAAAAATGTTAAGGATTAGAAACATTCTCTCCACTGCTGGGATGGTAGACCTAATGAAGCTTGCATAGACTCAGCTACAGGTCTCCAGTCTCAGAGGAAACAGTACCCGCTGTGGAAACCAGGACCTTTTGAATGACTGAAGAGTCCCACCTTCAGGCCAAGTGCTGAAAGGCAGGGTAGTTAGTTGTATCAGATGTTTGAGAACTACATGTGATGGAGAGTGAGCCTGTGTGTGTGTGTGTGTGTGTGTCAGGGTTTTAACTACTGAAATTTATCTCACTGTGATGAAAAAAAACAACAAAGTCGAGTCTAGACTAAGGGATGCATCTTCAAATTTAGCAGACTCTTACACACTTACCTCTAACTGTAATTTGATTATTTCACTTTGTTTTTCCTTTTCTTGAGTTCTTAACTTTGCATTTAACTCTGAAATTTCCACCTCCTTTTTCTCTATTAGTTCTTTATGCTTTTCTTCATTTGACTCAACTGAACAAAAGTAAATAAAATTAATTCATCTTAATGTTTCAAAAATCTTATAAACTTGTATATCTTTAGCATTTTAAACAATCCACAAGAAAGTAAATTTTATTAATAAAAATATTTTAGAAACCATTTATATGCAGGGTAGCTTTTATATATTTTTGACAAGCCCTTACAAAATTCTTGAAACACAAAAATTACCCGTGAAGTGCTTTTGAACAAATAAACTGATTTGTATTCTTAAACATCAATTTTATATTATATATACATATATATGTAATAGAGAAAGAATAAATAGGAGACTTAGTAGTTAAAGAGGGACACAAAGCTTGGGTTCCTAGGTACAGAGGACTCCAAATTACTGGATGATTTTAGAGCTACATCAAACCCCTGCTAAACTCTATTCCACATGACTGGGCATCTGTCATATTCACACCACATCTCTAGGCTTCGTCAAATTTCCTCTTTTCTCAACTTTCTTATTCCTATTAATGACACCATGTCATTCAGGATGGGAGCCTCAAGGGAATTTCCAACTTTAGGGAGAAAAGAGTCAATTCATCCACAAGCCCCGCCAATAAGGGCTCTCCATCCAAGACCAATTCACTACTTACTTAGTTTCAAGCTCACTTGGACTCTGTGTCCAGGCTCTCAATCACAAGTCCCTACATCCTATACACTGTTGCCCGGTTAGTCTTCCTAAAGCATACCTCTAAGTATGGCCATCACCTTCTCAGAAACCTTTAATCACTTCCCATTTTTTATCCTACAATTCAAGGGGTCAAAGAATCCAGCTCTAGCCACAGTTTTTGGCCTTCCTCTTGCTAACCTTCCCATATGGCACAAAGAAAAGGTAGGAGATGGACTATTATTCCCTAAAATGTGCTATGTCTCCCCCTCTATTTGTCTTGGCTTTTATTTTCTCTCTGCTGAGAGACTCTTTTTCCCATCTTCCCCAATGAATCTGAGCCATATTCATTCTTTGGGATCAGGGCCTCATACTTAACAGTGTTGAAGGACAGAATTAGTAATTTTGATAAAGTTCAATTTAGAATTTTTTTCCTTTATTGTTTGTGCTTTTTAATTCTTTCCAAGAAGTTGTGGCTAACTCAAGTTCACAAAGATTATCTTCTATGCTTTCTTTTTTTTTTTTTTTAAAAGATTTTATTTATTTATTTGAGAGCGAGAGCAAGAGAGAGAGAATGAGAGAGAGAACATGAGAGGGGGTAGGGTCAGAGGGAGAAGCAGATTCCCTGCCGAGCAGGGAGCCCGATGCGGGACTCGATCCCGGGACCCCAGGATCATGACCTGAGCCGAAGGCAGTTGCTTAACCAACTGAGTCACCCAGGCGCCCTCTTCTATGCTTTCTTATAGCAGTTTGTAGATGTAGGTTTATATTCTGACTTACATTTCCAGTAAATTTTTGCATATATTGTACATAAGTATGAGCCCATACTAAGAAAAGTTTCTATTACTTTCATGAAACCAGTTAACTCTCAACATAAGTTCATGAGACCTGCTTTAGTGAGGGAAGAAAATCTCATTACTGAAATAATATTCCATATGCAGACCATATAAATATCAAAGCTATTAATTATACATTTCACTGTAATCTTATAAGGACATTACCTGTTTCATATTAAGTAATGGTAATTACAAAAACCATAAATCCAGTTTAGAAATGTCATAATTTATTTCACATAAATATATAGAAAGGTACAAAACTTTAAAATGCATCAAGGCAATGTTCATTCAAGAAAACTGGCAATTACTGAAAAAAGTTTATACATGCATTTAAATTATTTTATGATGTCT